TCATCTGCATAACGCAGATTGTTAATAGATCTTCCACCAATCCTGATGCCACAATTCTCCTCATAGAGCCCCACCTCTCGGATAATCTGCTCTGCATACATTTTGTGCATAGGGTTTTTATGTGGGTAGATCCATAAAACACACTATACTATCAGTGTGTTTGGAAAAGTACAGAGTCTGCAAAGAGAAGAAGACCATGAAGGAGATGGATTGACACAGTCACTGGGCAATGGGCTGAAACATGGCAGAGATTGTGAGAATGGTGCAGGATAGAGCAAGGTTCTGATCTCTCGTTCATAACGTTACTGTCAGTTGTCGTCAACTCGATGGCACCTAATAGCAAAGTATTCTATTTACCTTTGTAATCTCCTTTAATCCCCACAATAGTCTTATGAGAGGAACCAATATCCCAATTTTAAAGCTAAAACTTTGAAGTTCATAATTTTCTCACATGCAAAGTGTAAAGGATAACCAAGTCCATGTTAAGTGAGATTATGGCTATAAAGAAGTAAAAAAAAAAAAAGAAGAAGAAGGCTAAGTATATAGAAAACACTCTCAGTAAATTGTTCCAGACATTATTACTTTTATAATACTGATATTGTTTGTTTTTCAAGTTAACGTTTATATTGGTGGCCTAGTCCATAGGTCGTTGTGTTGCTTCGTAAAAGGTGGTGTTTCTCTGCTGGTTCAAATACACCAGTGGCTATTTGAGAGAAATGTGGGCAAATTCCTCCTTTGTGGCTTTCAGCCCCTAGAAAGCCACTGCAGGTTCAGCTGTGCATTGCCAGAAACCAAGTGACTCAAAACAATAGCAATCTCTTCTCTCACAGTTCATCAAGGTGTTTGCAAGGCCACACTCCCTTTGAGGATTCTATGGGAGATTTGTTTCATACTTTTCTCCTGGTTCTGCCCTGTCCTTAATATTTTGTGGATACATCACTCCATCCTCTACCTCTGATGTCACGTAACACTCTTCCCTGTTTGTCTGCCTTTGTTTCATATCCAACTGCTGTAAGGACACTAGTCATATTGAATTACGGTTTACTTTAATGGCCTATTATCCACTCAATTATATCTCCAAAGGTCTCATTTCCAAGCAAGGCCACAATCTCAAACCCTCTTGTAGGGGTATACAATTAAACTCATAATAATATTTAATTAAAAAAACAAATGTAGTAATAAGATTAAAGAGCTTTTAAAGTCAGTGTTGCCTAAATAGAATTTTCTGCAAAATAGACATGTTTTATCATCTCTACTGTCCAGTGTGGTAGCCACTTGCTTCAGATAGCTATTGAGTCCTGGCAGTATGTCTACCATGACTAAGAAACTGAATTTTAAGGTCCATTTCATTTTCTTTGTTTTAAATTTAAATAGGCCACAAATTGAAATTACCAGAAATCCCTTGTAATCACACCATCATTGAGTAGGTTTTTCTTCTTTATTGGGAAGGGTGTACGCCAGGGATGCATCCTGTCTCTATACCTTTTCAACATGTATGCAGAGCAGATTATCCGAGAGGTGGGGCTCTATGAGGAGAATTGTGGCATCAGGATTGGTGGAAAATCTTTAACAATCTGCGTTATGCAGATGACACAACCCTGCTTGCTGAAACTGAGGAGGACCTCATGCATTTGCTGCAAAGGGTCAAGGACTGCAGCCTTCAGTATGGACTGAGGCTCAATGTCAAGAAGACAAAGATTCTCACCACTGGACCAATTGGCAGCGTCAGGATGGATGGCGAAGAGATTGAGATTGTTCACAGCTTCAGTTTGCTCGGCTCCACAGTCAACACACTTGGCACCAGCAGTCAGGAAATCAAAAAGCATATTGCGATGGGAAAGTCTGCTGTTAGGGACCTCTCTAAAGTACTCAGGAGCAACAGTGTCTCTCTGGAGGCTAAGGTGCACCTGATACAGGCCATGGGTTTGCAATCGCTTGTTATGCATTAGAGAGTTGGACAATGACTAGGGAGGACAGAAGGAGAGTTGATGCCTTTGAGCTGTGGTGCTGGAGAAGAGTACTGAATGTACCATGGACTGCCAGGAAAACAAACAGATTCATCTTGGAGAGGATTAAACCAAGCTACTCCTTGGAGGCAAGGATTCTGGGGCTCCGTCTGACATACTTTGAACATGTTGCCAGGAGGGACGGGTCCTTGGAGAGGGACATCATGCTTGGGAGGGTGGAGGGACAGCGCAGGAGGGGAAGACCCTCTATGAGATGGATTGATTCGGTGACTGGGGTAATTGGGATGGGTGTGTCAGAGGCAGTGCGGTTGGTGCAGGATAGAGCAGGGTTTAGGGCTGTTGTGCATAGGGTCGCCGTGAGTCGCAAACGACTCAACGGCACATAACAACAGCAACATATAAACTTTCTCACATACACCTTCACATAGAGTCAAATTGTACATGCTATTTACTTTCTTTTTTTCTTTCTCACTAAACTTTGTTTAAATGGGTCTCAAAATTCTGTGAAAAAATTTTAATCGAGTTGTTTCGATTTAAAAAGTACTGATTTTCAAAACTAATAACTTAAAACTACCACACAAAAGAGGGAAAAAATGGTCCACAAAACGTTCCTTTCTGTCTGAAAGTTTTACAATGTACTGTTCTCATTGACCAGTCTTTTACTATTAAACTTAAATGGACAATTGAGATAAATAGTTCTGAGACCATACTTCCACCACTGATTAAGACTGGGGTGGCAAGTATTGTGGGTAATATTCACTTAGTTTTCTGTGTTTTCTGAGCTGGATTGGTGACCTGGCTTTGGTGAACTTCTTGTCCACCACAGCAACAAAATGACCTAAAGGAAGGAAGTAGAGAAGCTCTCCACACACAGGGGCATGCCACAAACCATATCAACAAGGGCAGCATCACCAGGCTTCAAGAATGTGGAGCTAGCTTCCAGCTTCTTACTAGAATGGTGATCAATCTTCTCTCTGAGCTCAGCAAACTTGCAAGCAGTGTGAGCTGTGTGACAGTCCAGCACAGGTTCATAACCAGCACTGATTTAGCCAGGGTGGTTTAAGATGATCACCTGAACAGTGAATCCAGCTGCTTCCACTGGTGGGTCATTTTTGCTGTCACCAACCACATTGCCACATCAAACATCTTTCACAGAGATGTTCTTAATGTTGAAGCCAATATTGTCACCAGGCAGAGCTCATGGTGCATCTCAACAGATTTTACTTCGTGGTAACATTGACGAGGGCAAACGTGACCACCATGCGTGGCTTAA